AGAGAGAGAGAGAGAGAGAGAGAGAGAGAGAGAGAGAGAGAGAAAGAGAGAGAGAGGGAACCTACCTGCTTGGTCTGCTTAACGTTATTTGTGTGTATATTATTTCAGGGCTGACAAACTGGTATTGGATAACTAATTAGGGGGCTCACCCCTGTAAGGACTCTTCCCCGTCTCAGCACCCCTTAGTTACCTGTAGTTCTTTGTTTACAGGTGGAGCTCTGTAAGATTTCCCCGCATGCACGTTTGCATCTCTGTCGGTGTCATCCTTTTTCAGGTCTTGTTTAGGCAGTCACGTTGGTGACATGTCATGTGTGAAGATTCCCTGTCATTTCTAGGAGACACAAATGGGGTCTACCCTTGACCAGAACTGGCTAGTCTGAAGGTATATACCTGACTACAGGGCAATCAATGTGGCGTCTGCCCAGTAACGTACTACATTCTCCATGCAGATCTGGAGTGAGATGTAGGAACTGGGGTCAGTCAGTTTTGGTCCCCTGATCTATTGATGAATCAGAGTAGAAAAGAGAAAATTGAAGCAGGCTTCCTTGTGTTCTGATCTTTCTTGCATTAGGACTTATCTGAGACTTATATAGGAAAAGAGAAGGGGATAGGCTTTGAAAAGAAGATTTGAGTTTATACTGCATCCCAGGGTCTGTATGATTTTAGCCTGTGACTTTGGAGAGAGGGAACCCAAGGCCAGAGCAGTTGTGACTTGGCAGTCACGGGCCTGGATCCAGGGATCTTGGCTTTACTCAGCCGGAGGGGGAAGCTTGTGTTTCACGCTTGCATCAGGCGTTTGGGAAGAAACACTATCCTTCAACGAGATGAAGATGGATCCTGTGTTGCCTTGGCGACACAAATGAAAACGATCAGATCTACTCCGAATGTGAATATTTCACAGCCATCGTTAAGTTTTCGTCTGATTTTGCCAGAAGGGCTAGAGATGTGCATATCTGGAGTTTTAAGCACACTTATCGTATTTCTTAAGCATTCATAACAGCTTCCCTCCCTAAAATCTGTGGTGAAGGGGCGGGGGGGGGGGGGGGGGGAAGAGTCTTGGAGACGGCAATGACTTCAAGCTGAGCAAAAAAGATTCCCTCCTTGAGTTCTTGGCTTGAATGCACATCCACCCCGAGAAATGTACTTTGTCCGCTCACAAGCTATTCTTCTCCATCATCTGCAAGGCTGGAACTGGCAGCTCTGTTTATTGTGCGCTGAGGGATTAAGTTGCTCTTCTGTGTAGCACAGTCGTCATTCAACACCAGCCCAGGAAAGCGGGAATTGGTGTTTTGATTGTCGTTACCATGGTGACCAGTGGCCCGTTGGTTCGATGACCAGCAATGCCTTAAGTAACTGTGCCCAGGACTCCGGTCTGACGGCAATGTTTCTTCTTCCTCGTGTTACATCACTTCTTGCGTGTTGCAGGTTACCCTGGCAGTAGCTCACGTCATGCTTCTAACATGCCCGAACACACTCAGGGAAGGGCAGGAGCGAGCAGAAAGCGTCATTCCCAGAAGCTGGATACTGCTGTTGCCTGGCTAGGATGTCCTGTGAGGCCAAACAAACCCTGTTCCTGCCCTGACAGCGTCTCCTGGGCCAAACTCACTGACCTTTTCTAACTGCCCTCTGCACAAGGTCCCTTTTACCTTAGAATACAGCCATAGGTCTGTATTGGAGATCTTCGTTTGGTGTCATACTCCTGGTCCAGTTAAGTCCCCTAGACCTTTTCCAAGGTTCGAGCCTCAGTTCCCTCTAGGATCCGGTAGACTCCTCGGGATGTCTCTTGTTTCTACCTGTGCCACATGGTATTAGGTGCTGTGCCCCACCTTCAAATGTCCCTTATCCCATCCCTCTGTCCTTTACAGCACAGGGAATGTGTGCTCCCCCGGGGTCTTGCCCTGAGCTGAGTGTGTGCCTCTAGTTCCTGTGCTTTGCTTATTCCTAGCCCAACCCACTGGAGCATCTCTATGATCCACAGTTCCTCTCTTTCCAGCCCAGAATATTCCCTCCTTCCTACAGGCCTGGTTGGAAACTAACTCTGGCCTTTCTGGGCCTTCTAGCAGTATGAGATACAACTTGTTAATCTTTTCTGCCCCATATTGGAAGGGGGCAGATGTCAGGTCACTTTCTTGAGAAAAAAATGACCTGGGCACAGCTGTATAAACATGTGCTTCATGGGCATTTCTGGAGGTGTTTATAGAAAAATGCATGACAATGCAGGTCCCCCATGGGTGAGAACCCTCAGGGCATGAGAAGCCTGCTCTCTGTCTCCAGCTCCCAGGAGCTGGCCTCTGATTTTGGAGAATTAAGTGACTTTATTATGTGCTCAGAAGCATTACATAAGGCTCCCATGTTTCCAAGTGAAGTTTGGTGCCTTCCCAAGTCTGGCCTTAAGTTGTTTCTCCAGTCTCTAGACTGGGTGATAGAACAACTGAGCAGCTGGTACCCCAAGAGATGGTTTTATTTTTCCACAAGGCCTCCTCAGACACGCACCAGCACTCTGTCCCTCGGTCCCAGCAACAGTCAGGGATGGTCTCATTATTCGCTAGTGACTTTTATTTTTATTTTTTTTTATTTAAAGTTTTTTTTTCATTTTACATAAATGCCCACTGTTCCCTTTCCCTCCCCTTCTCCAGCTTCTCCCCATCTCTCCCCATCCCATCCCACCCACCCTCATAAAGTCCTCCCTTGGGTATTCAACACAGGCTGGTTACCAAGTTGGGGCAGGCTCAAGCCCCTCCTGCTGCATCAAGGCTGAGTAAGGCATGGCACCACAGGGAATGGGCTCTAAAAAAGCCAGTTCTTGTACCTGGGATAAGTCCTGGTCCCATTGCCAGGGGACCCACAAAAACATCAAGTCACTCAACTTTCGGTGAAAGGTCGGTCGCATGCAAGCTCCCCAGCTGTCAGTCCAGAGTCCATGAGCTCCCACTAGCTTGGGTCAGCTATCTCTGAGGTTTTTCCCATCATGATCCTGACCCCCCTTGCTCCTATAACCCCTCCTCCCTCTCTTCAACTGAACTCCAGGAGCCAGGTGCTTGACTGTGGGTCTCTGCATCTGCTTCCATCAGTCACTGGATGTAGGTTCTATGATGACAATTAGGGTAGACACCAATCTGAGTGCAGGGGAAGTTCAGCTCAGGCACCCCCTCCACCATTGCTGTAAGTCTTTCGCTAGTGACTTTTGATCATGACCCCTGTCGTCTTCTCAAGTATTCAAAGGCCAGTGCAAACCAAACTCTTAATCCACATCCAATTCAAAGTGAGGTCTTTCTCTACCTAGCTTCCACCTCAGATTTAGCCTGTGGCTTAGGGATTCTGTTCATGGTGTTCTGACTACATACCTTCCTGGCAGCCTCAAGAACTCAGCAGCTGAGTTTCCTATCGGAGTGTGTATCTAGCTCATCACATAGCAGATTCTCACATTGCCTCCAGTCTCATCCTTGATGTCTCTCCTCAGAAGGAGTGAGCCCGACCACTCTGAAGGGTGTCTTTGTCCCAGTTTCTAGCATGTGGAATCCCTTGAAATTATTTTAACATTTATTGTTTAAAAATTTTACACACGCATATGTGTTTTGATCAAATCTGCTCCAAGTCCCTCCCTCCAATTCCTCTTCTGTCTTCCACCTGCCCTTGCATCCCAATTTCTTATGTTTTTTTTTTTTTTTTAAAACCACTTAGCCTGCTTAGTACAGGTGTATGGTGTAGGGCTGCTTCCTGGGGGTGATGAACTCACAGCTGCTGGGACTGCAGGCACAAGATCTGCGTAAGATCAAGCTAGTCCAGATCCCAGCAGGCATCAGGGAGGGACTCGGGAAGTCTCACTCACCTTTAGCTGAGGAATTATTGGCAATTTAAAGATGCTTAAGGAGGAAGAGTCAGTTTTCTTCTGGGAGGCATCCCCTAAGAGGCTACCTGGTTGGTCTTTATTATTATTATTATTATTATTATTATTATTATTATTATTATTGCTGTTGTTAGCTAAACTATGGTTTTTCTCTTCTCCTATCAGAAGGGAGATACTCAGTGATTTTTTCCCATAGTGTTTTGTTATGTAGCCCAGGATGGCCTCAAAACTCATGATTCTCCTGCTTCAGTTCCCAAGTGGTGATATTGCAAGTGGGCACTGTTACCTTGCTGTATTTGTCTTACTTTAAAAAGTTTTATGTTTATGGGGTGAATCTGTTTCTGTTACACTTCAGATGCTCAGAAATATTTGGCTTAATTGATGGTGAAATCTTAACGAAATTAAGTTATAATATTTATCCAATAGCCAAACAATCATTTGGAGCCTATGGGTAAAAATCTGTGAAATTGGCACTTGACTTGCTTTGGTCTGGCCAAGTGGTAGTTTCCTATCATTCAAATACATTTGGAGCCTCCCTCCAAGTCAACAGCAGAGCCAAGGTAGCTTCTCTCGCTGTTATATGATTCTAGAAATGCAGTTCTGGTTAATGCAACAAGGTGAGACAGTGGATGGAAAACTGCAAATACTAAGTGTGGAAGGTAAAATAACCTACTTGTAGAACCAACAAAAATCCTCTTAATTTTCATTAAAACTTGATGAAACTTAAGAGCCTTAGTAAGTAAGCTGCTTAGGATGTCTAAACAAAATATAGTCAGCTAGAGGCTCATAGGAAGCATGCCACTCATAATAGCAATAATTATGACAATAATGACATGTAAGACACAAACTCTGAAAACTAAGGATTGTGTGTAATCTTTCTATATGAAGAAAACTGTAAAGCTAATTAGAGGATCCTTGGAGTAAATGCTAAAAATATTGGAATGACAATTTTTTTTTAAAATTATAGAAATGTCAGTTCTTGCTATGGCACATGTCAGTATTTTCTTCCCAATCTAAATTTGAATGGAATTTTGTGGGCATTTTGACAAAACAGATTTACAAATGATCTAATGGAAGGAACACCAGATCAGCTAACAACACAGAAAAAAGAGGACTGTGTAAGGAGTTTCCATATCTGGAAGTGAAAGAAACTGCCATGCTACAATAACTAAAAGAGTGTGGTGGAGGCACATGAGTGACTGGACAGTGAATGACGTACAATAGGACGTCAAGAAAATTCAGTGTCATAGAAACTTGCTTTATACCTCAGGGAGCTTTCAAATCCAGAGGAGAGGGGATGGGTTAGAAATGGATTTTAGAATAGTTAATTATCATTTAGAAAAAAATTCGACTCCAACTTCCACTCAAGTGTGTTTCAGATAAAATAGTTTATTTTTATATCGGTCATTAAGCAATATCTTCTAGAAGAACATAGAATATACAGTCAATCAATTACAGGTAGAGGAAACTTTTGTATGCAAATTAACACTAAGCTATTAAAAGATTGATGTTTTACAATTTATAAACAAAAGTATAAATTTCTTTTTTCTTCTTTTCGTTTTTTTTTTTTTTTTTGAGGCAGGTTTTCTCTAGTTTTGGTGCTGTCCTGGATCTTGCTCTGTAGACCAGGCTGGCCTCAAATTCACAGAGATCTGCCTGCCTCTGCCTCCCTAGTGCTGGGATTAAAGGCGTGCGCCACCACTACCCAGCAAAAGTATAAATTTCTACACAGCGAAACATCAATGGAACTATAAACCTAGCTCAATCAATAAAGAGCTTGGTATGCAAATATGAAGTCCTGAATTTGGTACCCAGAACCTGTGAAATAAAAGCTTGTTATATCAGTGTTGATGAGGTGTAGACAGCCAGTGTCCTGGAGCCACTCACCAGTCAGCCCAGCTTACTTAGCAAGCTCCAGGCCAGTGAGGCACTGTTTTAAACAAAAGGTAGACAGTGCCTGAGGAATGAAAACCAAGGTTGTCCTCTAGCTTTCAAATATTCCCTAGATGTGTCCATGTGCACACACGAATACATACACATACATCCGTACATGCCCAACACAAGCACAAAAAAAAAATCACAGAATTGAAAAGTGGTTATCTAAGCTAACCATGGTGGCTTGCACCTGTAATCTAAGCACTCTGCAAGCAGAGACAGGAGGACCACAAATCTGAGGCCATCTCGGGCTACATTGGTGAGCCTTTGTCTCAAAAATTCATTCTAATACCCAATAAAAAGGGGCGAGGAGGCTCTTGTCCTGGAAAATTATTCCTAATAGACATGACTGAAAATAATTGAGATTCTTACTATATAAAGAATTTCCATGAATCAAAAGAAAAAAGACAAATATCACAATTGAACTGGAACACAAGGCACCAACAAGCAAGCCACACAACTACAAATAGATAACAATCCTGCGTGCAGTGATTGCATCATCTAATTCAGGAATCACCTCACCTTAGCTACTCTTGCTAGATTTTTCTGTTGCTGATGTGGCTGTCATTTGTAAATCAAAGTTGATTGCAATCCTTACTGATGCATAATTTTGTGATAGGAGTGGAGTATTCCAAGCAGTGGCTCTCAACACATGGAAGTGACTAACTACCAGACGGAGTCCCCCGGGTTGGGATGTTCTAATTATTTTATACTGAGAAGTAGGTGATGCTTATGTTGCCATGGCGCCTTTTGTTAACCTCTCACTTCTAATACCTTAGGGTCTTGACTATGTTCCTCTGAAGGGACTGAACTAGGGGAATAGTAGGGGCAACTTGGATGCTGGCTTAGGAGGATGCATTCTGTGTCTTCAGTAAGATGCTGTAAGAAGAGATCAAACCAGGGGACATCCCTCCATCCATGTGCCTCAGGTAGCTCTAATGGGACTCAGGGGATTACTTGGAGGGGGGATCTGGGAGGATGATGGTGGGTGGTGGGATCTGGCAGTGGGTGGTAGTTATCATCAAAATACATTGCACACAGATATGAAATTCTCAAAGAATCAGTAAGAAATATTAAAAAAGGACAATGTTCATGATATGCAAAGTGAACAAATAAGACCACAAATTGTCATCCGAACAGGGCTGGGAAGGGGAGAGGGTCCTTTTGACATTGTCGATGCCGTGATCGTTACCATTCAATGAGGATTTGTGATGTACTGGTTAGTCTGCTGAGTTAGTCTGAGTTAGTCTGCTGATTGTATTATTTCACTCAGGGTGCCCAACTGCCTAGTAAGGAGGGCACTGGTATTAATCTTTTTTTTTGTTTCTCTTCCTCTTCTTATCTCCCCCCTCTTCCCTTCTTGCCCCCCCTCCTTTTTCTGTCCCCCCCCACACCTGGTAATGTATGAGAACCTGGCTGTTTTGTTGAGAATTGTGGCTCTGAACTCTTTGTTTGAATTATCTTCTGCTGCCCTGTACACCTTAAAATTGCACATTAGCATACAATCGCTGCCTCTCTTATGGTCAGAGTTCTCGTTCTGTTTAGTGCCTTTCAGGCTGTGGAGACCCTCCTCAATCCTTTCCCCACTGTCCTGTAGAGCAGGCCTGTGAGGGTAGACAGTGAGAGGCCAGCAAGTGCTGCCTTTGGTGTCCTGAGGTTCTGTGGCTTGCCAGTTGCCACACCGCTGGAAGAAAGAACAGCAGGACTGGTCTTTGGAGTCCAAGTTCAGATCTGATCATGTTTGCCTGGCAGCAGGATCAGGCAACTAGGGTGTCTATGTTTTTTAGCATGCAAGTATAGAAAGACATCGGGGCACCACAGTCGGTGGCTCTCCGGGTCTGGGGACCAGCAGCAGCAGCAGCAGCAGCCCCTGGGAACCTGTAGGAATGCAGGTTCTCAGGCCCCACCTTAGACCCTCTGAATCAGCCACTCCAGGGCGGGGCCCAGCCACCTGTGTTTTAACAAGTCCTCAGTTAGCTCCAACATACATTCAAGCTTGAGAATTCCTGGCCTTGGTCATCATGAGGCATACTTCCTGCTGTTCTTTATTCACTGTGACCTTGGCATCACGTGGCAGGAAGTTAGGGACACACCTGGCACCCTTTTATGATGATCTTTCCTGCAGCTAAAGGATCACCCTGACAGCGCGGGAGTTCAGTGCCCTGAAATGTCGCAACTTTGTACACCGTGCCTGACGTTAGTCAACAGAGCCAGCTAATTTCACCAGAGGATCGGAGTCCAGGAATACCTTCTTACGTTACCTTGGGTTTCCCCTAATTAAGAATCTTTTCCTTTCCCAAAGGAGAATGGGAGAGATCTTGGACTTAAGTAAAGGTAGAACTCATAATGTGCTTTTCTCACAGAAAAAGTCACAAATGGACGAAGGGGGTTATCCATTTAAGTGGGGTCTGTGTGGTATCTAGTACTGTTTAGACAGGGAATGCTGTTAAAATGGAGGATACAAACAATAAGATATAGACAATGACAATTATGCAAAAGAGGTAGTGGTGTGTGTGTGTGTGTGTGTGTGTGTGTGTGTGTGTGTGTGTGTCCCAAACATGCACGTGCTCATTAAGTGTGTGACAAACAGCGTGAGTTATTGCCTAGGATTTCACAAAGGAAGCCATTTATTCTTGGTCAATTTTAAGATCAAGGAGTTCAGCAGGGAGACCAGAAAGTGAAGCACATTCCAGGCACACCATAGAAATGTAAATACGAGGAGGCATGGAATAGCATGGTGTGTTTGGGGAGCCACAGGTGGCTTGGGGTTGTGAAGCCCTGAGTGTTTGAGGTGAAGTGACAGGAGGTCAGACAAGGCATTGAGAGGCAGGTCATGACTGTGAAATTACCCTAAGGAGTTTGCATTTGACCAATATGCTACCATGTCTGCAAAGTGTTCCCACTGCAGACGGCTGGGCTCTGGGGGGCTGTGGTAGGTTTTCTTGGAAAAATAGTAAAGCGTGAAAATAAATAAAAAAATACAAAAAAAGTATGAAAGCTTAACAATATGATTTCTTCTTTTTTTTTTTTTTTCTAGGTGAACTTCCTTAGGCTCTTCAAGCTGCATGGGAATGGATTTTGGACTGTGCTTCCCCGCACAGGGAGGTTATGTAGTCATGTCCCTCTTAGGGTGAAATCCATATTCTTACCATGGCTTCCAAAGCCCACAAGTCAAGTCCTGTCTGCCTTCCTGCCTGGGAGTCGGCCTCAGGGGCCATGTTCCTGCTGTCCATGCTGTCCTCTGGCCCTCCCTACACAGTCATCATCACCCAGCCTAGAACAGCTGTTCTCTCAGCCAGTCCTCATCTCGAATTGTTCCCACTGCATCTCCACGTGTCTGTCCCCCAGATCTAGCGCATTTAGGTGGCAGGGCTTTTGTCTTGTCATTTTTGGTCCACTCATCTTTGTGCCACTATTTTAGGGTTTGGCCTGTGAAAAATCACAAGACATATAAGAAGGAATGAATGAAACCATGGCTGTTATTTATACTCCAGGAATTTGAGTTTCACATCTCATTCCATCTTCATTTCAACCCTATAATGGATGATCGATATCCCTGACGTACATGCAAGAGGGCAGAGGGCCAGAGAAGCCATGAACTGTCCTGAAGTGGCACAGCTGAGTCAGGATGAGAGGGTGATTTCTTGCTCTAACCATGTCCTTCCCTTTGCCCTTGGCAGTCTTATTCTCTTGTCCTTGCCTCCAGGTTCTTGAGAACAGTTTCACTGTGACTCACTTATTTCTTGTATGGCTCCTTTTGGTGGAGGAGCCCGTGGCGCATGTTTTTCGGTCCCAACTACTCCCAGTGTCCTTCCTTTTCTTCCCCCAGTCCCTTCTCAGCCTTGGCTCTTTCCTGCCCTCTGGGATTCATGGCTCAGCTTTAGGAAACCCATGCGCAATGAGTGTGTCTGAGTCTATCGATGTCCACACTGCTCCTGCTACAATTAGAAGATAGCAAAGGTCCAGGAGAAGGTTCCTCTGATGGACAAGGAGACCAGAGGCATTGCTCTGCTGAAGAACGGTGCTGTAGGCCTGCAGAGGCATGCATCTGGCCTCTCTCCTCGGCTCTCATGAGCTGCCCAAGGGTATGGTTTGTAGAGGAAATATTAAGCTGAGCACCCCAAGAGAAAATGAAGTCATTGCTTGCCCAAGAGTGATTTATTCCTTCATTAACAACATATTTGCTATCTTTTCCAGTGATAAATTAGGTCCTCTCTGCAGATGCTTTTGCTCCTAACCTGACTCCAAGGATGGGCTGGCTATGCATCTGCAGCAGACTGTCAATCTTCCTCCTGGTCCTGCTTCCTTCAAACTCATCACTCACCAGCGTACCTTTGAACTCGATTCTCAGGCTGTCCAATTGTCATAAGATATGAGGCAGAACTCTAGAAAGGGTTGCTTTATGACTAATGATTTGGCTTTTGAAGGAGGTACAATATACAAAAGAAATTATGTGAGAAAAAAAAAATCTAACACCTTCTTTACTGAAGTCAGGCCCAAGGTCCAGATCTGTGTCTTGTAAAATGAAATCCGAGGCCATAAACATGCCTCACACATCTGGAATCTTGCCTGTGGCAGATGCTCTAAAAGCTGAGATGTAATATGAAAACAAGGGAAAGAGCATTTATTGAAAGCCTACTAAGTGTCCGGCTTTTCCACACTTCACCTTGTGACAGCCGCTTCGTGCCTTAGGTCACTCTCACCACTGGTGTGGGCAGTAAATATTTGCATGAAGTGAAGCTCCTCACTCCAGCTTGCTGAACTTGAACAGAATCATCGGCGTGTATCTCGAAGCCACTCCCAGCCAGGAGCCTCAAAGGATTTACCAAGAACACCACTTTTGCCTGGGACACAGAGTTTGTTTGCTCAGTATTCATGAGAAAGGCTATTTGTTCTGAGTGGACTGCTGGAGTTCTCTGAGCATAGGGCTGGAGCTGGGTTTGTGATAAAGTATACCATGAGTGCTTTAACACATAATATTGGCAGGGGCTAAGAGCACTTGCTGCTCTTCCAGAAGACTAGAGTTCAGTTTCTAACATCCACACTGGGTGGCTCAAGCCATCTGTAACTCTAGCTCTAGAGGATCTGACACCCTCTTCTGGTCTCCATGAGCACCCACACCTATGTGTGTATACACACATGCAAACACATATAAATAAAATAATAAAATACATCTTTAAAAATTAGTATTGACTTGAGTTGACACCTTAAAAATGAATATAGACTGACTATTGACAATTTAGTCACTGATTTCATAGAAACTTTTGATCCTCTTTCAATTTCTTTTCTGACTTCTACACTAGAAGACTAGAAAGCAGGATTCCTTTTGAAAACTCTTCTACTGTTCAGCTAAGAGAAGAAATCTTCTCTTGAAATATACATTATATTGCCACTAGAAATCAGGGACCTGAACTCTTATTTTCTTCTTCTTCTTTTTTTAGGAGTTTTCTTTATTCTTTTTTTAAAAATTCATTTTATTTAATTAATATTTTTCATTTATTTTACATACAGTTCCCTTCCCTCCTCTCCTCTTGTCCCTACCCCCCTTGCATCTACCCCATCCCCATCCACTCATCCTCTGGCTCCACTCAGAAAGGTGCAGACCTCCCATGGACTTGAACAAAGCATGACACATCAAGTTGTGGTAGGACCAAGTTCCTCCCCGTGCAAAAAGGCTGGGTGAGGTAATCCAGCATGGGGGACAGGTTCACAAAAGCCAGCTAAGCGCCAGTGACAGGACCTGATCTCACTGCTGGGGGCCTGACAAACAGACCAAGCTACACAACTGTCACACACATGCAGAGGGCCTAGGTTGGTCTCATGCAGGCTCCCTAATTGTTGGTCCAGACTCCAAGAGCTCCCATCAGCTCTGATCAGCTGTCTCTGTGGGTTCCTCCATCATGACCTTGACCTCCTGGCTTGCATAGTCCCTTCTCCCTTTCTTTAGGACACTCCTGGAGCTCTGCTCCATGCTTGGCTGTGGATCTCTGCATCTGCTTCCATCAGTTACTAAATGAAGACTCTCTGTTGATAATTAGGGTAGTCACCAATCTGATTACAGTAGATGGTCAGATCAGGCACCCTCTCCACTATTGCTAGGAGTCTTAACTGGGGCCACCCTTAGGTATTCCTGGGATTTCCCTGGCACCAGGTTTCTCCCTAACACCAAAACGGCCCCTCCTATCAAGACGTCTCTCCCACTCACTCCTGCCCCTAAGCTGCACCCAGCCCACCCAACCCTCTTCCTTAAGTTCCTATCCCCCCACCCAAAACTCTTATTTTGTGAAGGGATTCTTTCTCTCTCTGCTTGTATCTTCCCAACAGCTTCCTCACAGGACCGCCACTCTTCCTGACTGTCCTGGGCCATGGCTCTCCCCACTGCTAAGCACAGAGGTTTGGCACTGCCACAGGCACAATGGCTGCTCATCACAGCTTGTGATTTTTTTCAATTTTCAGGTTCCTTGTGGCTGGGTAGGACATGGGGCTGTCTCTGGCCAGTGGCTGGGGCAGAGGTGACACATATCAGTTCCATCGGAAGGCTTTTCTCTGTTGTTCACTCAGGCTCTCCTCTCCTCTCCTCTCCTCTTCTCTCCTCTCCTCTCCTCCCCTCTCCTGACCTCCCCTCCCCTCCCCTCTCCTCATCTTTTCTTTCCTCTCTTTTCCTCCTCTCTCCTCCTCTTGCCTCCCCCTCTCTTTGGATCTCTTTTCAATTCCTTTAACTTAGAAATTAAAAAAAATTAAATCAGCACACAGGGTATTAGCTATCATTATGCCGTTCTCAAAGTGCATTTTAGCAGATTTGCCCCCGGCCCCAGTCCTCTGGGACCCTTTGCTAGCTCCCTTTATAACCCTCCCTGTCTCTTTCCTCTTTTGTGTTCTGTGTGGCCTTTTGTCTTCTCTGTCCTTCCTCAGTGTCTATTTTTACCTTTCTTGATGTCCTCTAGGGTTTTAGGCTTTATCTGCATATACATCCACATATGTATGCGTGTGTGTGTGTGTGTGTGTGTGTGTGTGTGTGTGTGTGTGTGCATTGTAAGCTAGGATCTGTATACGAGAAAGAGCATACATACTTTTTTTGTCTTACTGAGTTTGGGTCTCCTCATTTCGTATTTCCCTTTCTAGATACAGCCATTTTCCTGTAAACTTTTTCTTTGCATCTGAGTAAAATCCCATTGTGCACATGTACCCCATTTTCAGTCTCCATTCGTCTGTTGATGGACAGCTAGGCCGTTCCATTTCCTTGCTGTTGTGAATTAAGCAGCAATAAATACAGATGTACAAATATATCTGTAGTAGAATGTGGAGGGAGTCTTTTGGGAACCATGACTGATAAAGTTAAGGAAGATTCTGGCCTCTTGCTCAGCAGAGGGGCATTGATGAAGAGAGAGATTTCCTGTGACTGTGCTGTAGTATGATCCAGAAAGAAATAGAAACACTGTTTTAAGACACCTCGATGCTGGG